AACAAAAGTTGTAGGAGATACGTCGCCAAGCGAAAATGTTGTTGGATTAGATTGTCAGGGACAAAAATACTGTTATTAAAAATATTAAAAATAGGGAGTGCATCTTGAAGAGCAGATCGAGCCTTCTTGACAGTACTATTCTTTTGAAATGTTTATAATTATTAGCTAATAAAATTAAATAATACTACCGAACAATACCAACTATTCAATTTGCTCATCCTATACGTTCAAAACTTTGTTAAACTGTCTGAACAGAGTATGATGTTTACGTTAAAATTTGTCTTTGTAATTTTGACCAAATTTTGCGTATGCTTTGTTAGCGCCCAAGCTTTCACTGATGACAACAGAAGATTTGTATTCGTTGCACATCCGGTTTTTCATTGCAGTATAACATTTAGCACTTCTTCAGGGATATTATTGGGCAAGTACCTTTTAAATAAGATGCCGCCCAGTTTTCCTGGTCTTGTAGTAGACTCTAAACCCCATATTGTCAAGGTACCTCGTGATACGTTGACATGCCTGGGGGTATGAATGGTAAAATGACCACTGGTCCATATGAACTGGTCAACTTTAAATTTGAGCTGGGGTGCAAAAGTTCTTCGTTAAGGATCCTCCTTTGGTAACCATTCTTTAGAAGCGCATGGTGAAGATATTGGATTTCTGCCAGAACTGTTAGTTCAAATATCTTTAGATCACAAATGCATGTTCTTTACCACAGTCCTAAGTAATCCAGAAGGGTAACATGACATCGAATGTTGATATCGATTGATGTGTGTTGATTTCTGATATTCAGACGTTGGCTTCATCTTCACTAGCACGCCCAGAAAGGATATAGAGTGGTTAACTCCCTCTTCAGTAGTAAAGCATATTCAGCCATTTGTATCTTCTCCATTCATGTAATTCACAAAGTCTAACCTTTTCAGTTTGTCTTCATCTCATTGGAATAAGGGGACAATGTCATCAGCGATTCGGTCATAGAGCAGTGGTCGAAATTTTGACGGGCATTCATTCATCACTGCCCATTGCCACTTCATCTTTTTCACTTAGTCATTGACGTGATAGATATTTTTTTAATGCTCCTACCCTTTGTTATATGAACCGTGGAGAACATATTACATGTATTGGTAAACTAAGGTATAAGCTCGAATCTCAAGGCTTGTGTATCACATTTCTTGCAACTTGAATTGTAAATTTTCCTAACCTCAGGATTGAAGTTTCAGATTAACTTTTAGAAAAATTGTCTGTTGTAGCATATTCTCTTTCTCATGAATGAAACGAGTAACTGTGTGTATTTTTTCGCATCTTGCTAAATCACTTGTTTATCCAAGTATTTCTTCGAATTGCTAGTAATTTCATTGCTGGATTGTCTCTTGGTCCCTTTATTTTTTATTCTTCAGTTGCGGGCAAATTTTATTCTAGCGTTGTTTAGAACACTGGCTTTGACTTTTCCTGTCGTGTATACCTAGTTCTTTGCACATTTTTATCTTTCTTCCGCGCAAAGTGCTTTCTTTTTCACCCGATACTTTTATTTTCCCTGACATTTTCAGTTTAAGGTACTTTTCGATGGTATTATGCCCTTGCGTGTTTGGCGAGGTGACATTTTGTTTAGTTGATCCTATTTCTCGACCGGTACTGCTGCGTAAGTTATGTCATATTCCATTGGCTTAACGTCTGAATCAAATAATGGGAGTGTTAACCATTTGTCCGTTTTCTTCCTTCCTGGTTTGTGTTTCCTCGATCATGTGCCAAAATTGTTTACATTTGAGACATGTTCTTGTGAGGCTCTGAATCCATGTAAATGCAATTTTATCAGAATATCTTGGAATTCAGTATCCATTTTCAGAAATTGACACTGAAGGAGTTGACGTGTCGATTTAGAAAAGCGGTACGTCTCAGCACTTGCTTCTAGCCTTTAATTTCAGGCTTCCCCATTGTCAATGACCAAATATACAATAACGAGGTGTTTGGGTCTTGTAAAGGCAAAGACGGCAAGTATGGAAAGACTGTCGAGCAGGTAAGTCAAGTACGTTTCCGTAGATTGTATAAAAGTTCAACTTTCTAGTTAATCACTGACGTTAGTAAGGCGTTTGGATCTGAAAATTGGATAAACGACTATGAAGTGGACATTGAAAAATTCATGAAGTCTAGAAACTCTTCAGACTGTAGCGCATTATCGCATATGGGCTTGACGGAGCCGCCTCCGCCATACGATCAAAACTGCCCCAGCTGTCATCTGACTTTTAAAGACCCAAAAGCGGAAGATCTGGAACTGTATTTGCACTGTTGGAGATATACGGTATTATAATTTCGTTTTGCGCCTGTTTTTAAATTTATTGTTTTTCTGACAGGGTCCAGACTGGTCTTTTGAATGTCCCCTTCCTGACTGGGCCACGGACTTAATGCGTAGAGCAGCGGAGCCTGTTGCTGCGTAAATCAAGCTTTTTTATTGTTTGAGCAATTGTATATTAATATAACTGCATTGTTTTCTTGCAAGTAAAACGCCTTTGAAGGTTGTGATTGATTTGGAACTGGGAATTTTTGTGAGAGGGACAAATTTAATTCGCTGTAGATACATGTATAGTTAATCTCGTTTTCCATGGACTGATACTAGCATTAGCCTCGTCGTTCCAAGGTTGTATTTAGAACGTCCCTACATGCTCAATGACAGATTTGCTGCAAAAATAAAATATAATCTTGTAGAGGTATCTGGACATATAACCAGAAATACCCGTGATAATGGTTATAAAATTTTTAGTGGTACTTTTTTGCAATGTTGTTGATTATGTTAAAAATGAAATTTAGAACTAGGTGTTGGTTCAGTACAATTACTATCCTTCAAATGAATTTACGACTGCAATTTTTTGTACTTCTATTGTTTTGTGTAGCTTTATTGTTTTGCTGTACTCAGTTTGTAAATATCTAATGCATTAAATGTTCGAATGCACTACACTGTTCAGTTTTTGCAAGAGTTATTTTTTCCAATTTTTTCGTATGTATTATGATTTTGTGGTTTTATAGATTTTATGGTTGAAATCTTTAAGCGTAAAGTGAAAGACCTTACCGCTAGCTGCTATAACTGTATACAAGAATGGCAGTCGTCCGTTAAAGCAAATGTGTCATTGCTTGAGCAGATAGGCAGCCGCCGGTTAACGTTGTTAGCCGACCAGGAGTCTGGCAGCGATGCTGCCCTCGATCAGCAGCTCACAGAGCTCTGTGGGAAACTCGTCGCAGTGGTTGACCTGTTCGAGCATCGCTGTCGCAGAATAGAAAAAATTCATGCAGATCTTGTGGCCTTGCAGAATTACGCAGCTGCTACAAACCTCGACGCTGACCTTCTATTGGGTTGTTGCCAGTTTTCATATCTGATTACGTTATTGGAAGACTTGCACAAATCTTGCGTCAAGGAACTACAGTGCAAAAGAGCAGTGGCACAGGAGATCGCTTTCTCACCTTCAAAGGACTTTGTCACTATGTGCATCGCGGCATGGATTCATCAGCCTTGCTTGGAAACTGATCTTTTGTGTCGCACATCTTATGCAGTATTTCTGTGTTCAGACAGGCTTTAGTTCGTATTTGCTGGCGTGCATAGAATTTTATTGCGATACGGATGTTCGTTCTTGTGTCTGTGTTCTTCAAGTTCTGAAAACTCAACGAATTGGTAATAACGTTAAAACGACTGATTAGTCTTCCAGGGCTTCAAAGCAAAGCTATGCAAACGCTGCTGTTTGATCCCTTTCAAATGATGTCTCGGATTATATTGTTTATCTTGCCACCGCCAATTTCACATGCTCATTGCAAGAAAGCATACCTCCACGAGGCTTTTTCGTATTTTGTATTGTCAGTGCTCGATTCTGCAACTAGCTGAATTCCTGCTGTTTTTTTCTGATCTTTAGCCATTTGCATAAGCAGAAGTCAGGTTTGTAATGCCCAATGCATTCTCATCTTTCCTATAGGGCAACGTTTAATTGTATCAAAGACAGTGCAAGTCGCAAAACAGCTGCATAGATGTATCTCATTGGTCTGCGTTTAAAGGTGGTGTGTCATGCTTCGATTTCTACCTAGCGCAGGGTGGCATAAGGAGTTTATGTTCGCTCAGTTTGTCTAACAAGTTCAACCTCCTTTTCTTAAGCTCTACATCTACTGAGAAAGTTTATACCCTTAATAAAGTAGTCACTTTTGCGTGGTCCTGTGTTGAAGCCTCTATATTTGTTTATATAGTTATAAGCATTGCTTTAGATCCTTTCTTAGAATGACTATTTGCTCCTTTGTCAGTGCAATATTGAACAAACTATTGAAAGTATCGGAAACAAGAGTAATTCTCCAATTTGGATTTGACTTTATGGTGGCTCTGCTGGAGAAGAATCTAAGTGCTTAAAGTGGCATCTCGCTCTTTTGCGGATTTGTTGTACCAAATGGATTTTCTAATTTTACTCTTCTGGATGTTAATGTATAATCCTGATTCGCGCCTGTAGTGGATGCAGAAGCTGCATATTACAATATCATTAATGTACTCCAGGTCAGCATACTATCATTCTGGAAATCCTGAACCCGCATTCCTTCTAAACTGTACCCTGAGGGAGGGGGCATCTCAGATGACTACTCTAATTCAGCGACCGTGCCAGTGTGCGTGAACACTTGTAAATTTGCTTATCCATATTTGATTTGTCCTCGTTATGGCTGTGTCATTATTTTGCTGTTATTTGCCCTCCGGCATTCTATCTTGCGTTCTGCTTTGCCCGCTTACGAAGTAATTTGACTATTGTGTCGTTCAAGAGTGTTCTTGAGCGACTGACTCGACGTTGTTGGTTTAGTAGTTTGTTATTCTTGACGTCCATAATTTGTCTCATGCGATCCACATCACCGGCTCATGTTCTCTTGATGACGTTGAAGACAGAAATTGTTTATTAAGCCAGTCCGTTGTTGCATTTGTATGCTCAGAAATTGACTTCGGGGTAAATATTAAATACGTTATCGCTCTTTAGGTGACTCTCAGTTTGTTCTCCATCAGTTTATTAGCAGCAGACCAGAATTCAGCGCCGTAGATCACGACGGTTAACGTGGTTGAACATTTGCTTCTTCGCTGGTATGAACTCACCCTCGATCAGTGATAAGGTTATAGAGGCCTATCCCATCTTCCTTCGGTTGATTTTTCCGTTTACTGTGTTCATACAATCACCTGACGGTCAGGGCATTCATGGCTAGTGAGCTTTCCGTGTTCGTTGCCGTTGGTGTAGGTATAGCAACCAGAGTAGTGGGCAGTTCTCGTTTCGCACCCGTTTCATGTTGGAGACGAACTTCCAAACCTATGGAAAGATTCTAATTGCGACTGCTGGATCTTCTGTTGAAGTAACAACATGTCTTCGGCAAAGACGATGTAGTCGTCCCTTAATAACATTTGCCTTAGCCGCTATTCATCAATATTTGTCGTTGTGCCAGTTTAGCCGATTGAAGAGTGACTCCAAGGCCGCGGCGAAGAGCATTGATAATGTGGATTCTCTTTGGCGAACTCAGCAGACATCGTAGCGGCATGATTGCTTTCAATCGGTGTTCAATTACTCGATCAAATTGTCGTAACGGGATTTATGCCATGTTCATGTGAGGCGTTTCACACAGCTGTCAACTGGTTTGAATCGAACATGAGCTTAACCTCATATATAAGATTGTAAAGTATGGAGCATTAGTTATCAGTTTCGCAAGTTACCTTAACAATGTGCTAAAATTTGCATAGAGAAAAGGCTCAGAAAGTAGCCAAAAAAATCATGAAAGCGGAACAGGGGAAGTGTATGCCTGAATGTAGAACTGCATATTGGTTATTTGAATAACCATAATGGTTAGAAACAAGAGTCATCGATGCTAACCTGACAGTATACGACAATTTTGTCGATTTCAGGTAAGTTGTATCAGGCGGCAGGCAATAAATTCGGAATAAACATCAACGACATCATTCAACCTAGGTATGTATCAAAATAGACTAACCAGTACTTCGTGGATTTTGCGATGACTGTTTCAGTAGTTTTTGGCATTAATTCGAACATTGTGCAATTTTTATACACAACCGAAAATAGTAATTCATGTGAGATTTATCGGTCACTTATCGGACTTATTGGTATATACAAATTACGGTAATTAAGAGCTGATCTTCAGGGCGCTTCCTCGGATTCGTTTAAGCTTCGCTTTATATGCAGTGCACCCATGTCAATAGATATTTGCGAGGAGGCAAAGAACGGGCGTAAGAAGTCGATAGCGCAAAAACTTGAATTCCTTCAAACCTTGACCAGCAGGAACCGGCAAAGATGTTGCTGATTAAGTCGTCAGGAAGAATAAAAACATCCTGAAAAAAGAAATGACGTAGCGGGCAAGTGGCGTGTGTTGACAGGTGTCTATTAACGGTGGTGGTTATACAAAATTGATGTTTCCTGCAAACCTAGAATTATCGTGATGCTTCGTCATCAGCTAGTTGGAAACCGGTGGGATTCTGTTCCTCTGCTTCATCCTAAGATGACCGATTTGACTTCGGTTAACTCATTTTCTCTCCAGCAGCAGCAGCAGTGTTCGACGTTGTCGCACGGCCATCTTCGATCGACATGTCGCTATGTCGTTATCGGGGTCAGCGAAGTCGACAAGTGCTATGAGCGCAAAACAAATTGCTAACACTTGTTGAGCTGCGCCGTGATTGAGAGAAGCGATCAGCCTCTTTAACGGCTCGTGCCTCAAATTTCTTCTTATCTCCAGCGGT